TGTTTGTCCCATAATGTGTTTGTCCCATAATGTGTTTGTCCCATAATATGTTAGTTCCTTCATATTCACAACTGAAAACCAGATGGAAACAATTGTAGAGCCAGCACAAACTGTACACATTTTGCATGAGAAATAGTGAGTGATTAATAATATATGACTTTGAGGGTGTAACGCAATATAAATAGAAGTTGTGAAGGCTCAACTAATTTTTTTTTTGGGTCCTGCTGTCTCTTCTGCAAACTACATTCTAAAAAGCAAAATGAAAACTTGACAGCCCAGATCTTCAAGTCCCAGTGGCATTGTTTGCCATGATTGAGAAAGCTGACTGATGCTGGAACGTTGAACATCCAATATGCCAAGAATGTCTCCATAGACGCTGATGATGATGGATCTCTCGGGATCTGTTTTGTCAGGCAATTGCACAGTATTTTGCACTGATTTTATTTAGAGCTGCACCTAGCAATTATAAGTCAAGTTGAAGCATTTCATTATTCCCATGACACCCTTCTGCATATCTGCTCCCCAACATACTAACTGAGCTCACCGTTCCCTGTCACATGCACAGGGACAGATACAGACACTGTCACACCTCACTCGGGTAGCACACTTGAAATCAAACCCCTCTATTTCTGCAGTTGTCACAAAAGTTAATGATTCTGGAAAGTAAGAGGAATGCCGCAATTTACCTGTATTTCAAACCCAAGTTGACAGAAAGCATGGATTTGTATTTAACTCAAATAGATTCAAACCACAGATAAACCACTACAAACCATTGACATACAACTCTACTTGTTCAACTGTCATAAACCACCTCCTCTACCCACCTGGGAGCCAACCCCCCATCCGCCCTCCTCACACTCACCGTGCACGCGTGCGCGCATACAGACACACCACGCACACACAAACACATGGGTAAACTGGGTAACACGTCTTTTCCAGATCTCCCACACAAGCTCTCACAGCGACAGAAACATGCAGCAGGTGCAGGGCAGTGATGAAGCTGCTCAGACTGGGCCAAATCTCTGGCAAACTTTACAGATTAAATGCTCAGGTTAGGTCGGTAAATGCAACGAAAAGTTCCCGGTGGTGTTCTCGGCATTTTCCTGGCAACAATGACCATTTTAGGCTCTTCTTTGGAAAGGCGAAAACCACGCTTTACCTCTGGGAGGGTTTCCTCAGCCTTGAGATGTAACGTTTCCAAAGAATCTGTGTCAGGACTTTAGTTGCTATGGACAATCAGCAAATACCTCGTGTGTTTCCAACGAAGAATGTATTTCCCTTTTTGAAGATGGTTACAGTTATCACATTGGCTGAAGCTAAGGGGTGGGATGGAGCAGGAAGGATAGAGTCAGTTTTCCTCCCATTTCCATAGGTTGCATGTATGGAGTCTTAGAACATAACAACTAGGAGCATGAATAGGCAATTGAGCCTCTGAAGCTTGCTCAGCTATTTAATACAATTATGGCTGATCTCATTCTTGCCTGAACTTCACCTTCCTACGCACTCCCCATAACACTTTGACCCATTGCTAATTACAAATCTATTTCCTCCTCAAATTTATTCAGGGTCACTGCATCTTTTGTTCTCATCATCGTCATCATTGGCGGTCTCTTGCCAATGAGGATGACTCACTGCTCTATGGGGTAGTGAGTTCCAGTTTCACAATTCTTTTGAGAGAAGTAATTCCTCCTCATCTTTGTTTTAAATCTGCCATTTCACCTCTCTAGCAAGTATTGGTGACCCGCATGGTTTGAGTGATACAGACATCATTCAGATAGTTGACTTGAACAATTATATAGCTTTTGAGATGCTAGTGCTTGATCTGGGATGTCTCCATATGAGTTTTTTTTTTATTGTAGTGTCCACACCTTTATTTTGGATTGTTGACCAAAATGGGAAAAAGGTTGAAGGACTGTGGAAGGAGTTGCTTCTCTTTTTCAAAAAAATGCTAGAACTCTTTGTGAGTTGAGTTTACCCTGTTACTTTCTTCAAACAATGGGGAAAGAAGTCTAAGATCCCATGCACTGGGAGTGTGTTTGCAGGGTGACAGTCGCCCAGCAACAGATTGCTGATTGGTTTGTGCTCTCGGGACTGGTTGTGGATGCCAGAAGTTGTCAACATGATAAGAATTCTGATTGGCTTTTGATCAGCTTATGGGAGAGAAACCTTCTGCCTCCAGCAACGAAAGGGACTCCCCCAATTTTTCTTCTCGTTTGCGCTTCCTCTCTCGCACTCTCCCCTCTCCCTGTTTCTCTCCTTTCTCCTGTCTCTCTCTCTCTCTTCTCCACCTCCACCCCCCCACCCACCACCTCCTCTGCCTCCAACAGTTGCTGCCAGCTAACCAGCAACTGCAAGACTTTACAATTAGCACGTGAACTGCCTTGTGTCTTCTGCAAAGAATTGAAAGAATCTGGAAATGAGCCCTGGTTGGTTGTATGATGATGATTTTATATTTTTTTTTGTAGTCGGACTGATTTCTTTGTAATAAGTAGCAGTTCTTGTTAAGTATAGAAGGCTGCTCAGTGTTTTCTGTTAACCTGGGTTCATTCAACCAGCAAATTAGGACTTTGAGTACTTTGTCTTTAATTTTTGTGACAATCCTGGGAGTGGTGAGCTTTGAATCTCAGTAGACTTTCCCAGGTGAGTCCTGACAATGTTTGTTATAATGAGGCTATCCTGAGCTCACTTTGTCAGCAGGAGGCCACAGTTCACATTGATTTCTCGGATGCTGGTTTTCTCAATTACTCCCGATATTGGGCTGATGGCTAACCCTAGCATTAGAGTCCCCAGATGAATGGTCTCCTTTTGGGATGTGACATACTGGCAAGACATGAAGAGAGATCGTAATTTTTTCTATTCTTCTTAAAAATAAACTGCACTCTCTTGTCTAAATTTTAAAATGGAACTCTGGAATTCAGTATGGCTGCTGTCACGAAATGGACCACTTGGCTACTTCTAGAAATGTCTAGCAATTACCAGCACAAAAGCTAACTCACCATCTGTAGTATCACACGATCCATTTGTATGAAATTGCAGTGCAACCCACACAAAAGAGCAACAGATACTGTGCCTATCCCAGCCAGTTCTGAACAAAGGATAGATTTAAAAATCATTATGCCTGAAATGATACTAATAACCTCATAGTTATCTCCTACAGAATATAATCACTTTGGCAAGAGACATTAAAACCACTTTGTTAAGTTGAACTGCACTCCACAGGAACTCTGTCACATGACTGAAACTTTTTTTTCCAACAAACTTTAACCGTGCAGTGCTGAACGCTCTC